CTTAAGTTCTTAAAACTGTAATCCATGCAAACATATTTTATAGGGAATACTGAATGCAGGCTTTAGTGCAGACAGAAAAAGCCTGATAAGATCTCCTTGCCTGCTGCACCCCGTGGGCTGCTGTCAGCCCCAGCCTCAGCTGAGCCATGGGATGGGAGCACAGGGCTTTGTGTTCCACCTGGGAAACACTGAGCCTTCCCTGGGCCAACTGAGCCCTCCCAAAAAGCAGCATTTAAAATGCACATCTACCACAAACCAAATCCCTTATGTGTTAATGGGGGTGTTAATATACCTGAGTGTTGGTGAAAGTGAGACCACCGGATTCATTGCCCAGGAAAATCATTTCCCAATAAAGCAAATCAAGTTCCAGGGATAATGGTGTTTCACAGTTCTGCAACATGATCTGTACAACCTCCAAACCTTCCAGTGCCAAGCCCGAGGGTGGGGTTTTTCAGCATGCCTAACCTGCTCCAGGAGTTAATGTTGAGACTGTAACTAAGCTCTGGGGAGCAGAATTATATCAAGTAGTAAAACACCCAGATCCCACTTCTAGAACAGCTTTTCAGGCCCTGGTTATCACAGCTGTCCAAACTCCAGACAGCACCGTATCCCACATTTTCACTGATGAATTCAGGGAGAGTGGGAAGTTCTTACACTCCTGATCTCCAGCAGGTGAATCTCCTTCTGCAGATCTGCCACACTGAGATTTTATATTTACACTACTGGCTGCTGGAGTGCTCAAAGCAGCTGTCTCCAGGGGATGTAGGCACAGCAGGATTATACACAACAATCCTTAAACCACCTATGGACACTGGAGTTCTCCAGGGGCTGATTTCCCAGCACCTCAGCACTGATGCCAAGCCCAGCCAGGTCCCTGCAGCACTGACGGAGCCTCCAGTTCTCCTCCCACAGCCCTGCCCTGGGGCACTGCCCTGTCCTCAGGCACCTTCTCTCCCATCCAGGTTATTTTCAGAAAACCCTCTCACACGAGTGGTTCCTGAGCCCCCTTCATGGTGGTCCACCCCAGATTAGACCAGTCTCCTCTAGGAGCTCATCCCACAACCAGGAGTGTTTTATTTCCAGCCATGCCATAAAACATGCCTGTGCAATACCCACTGCTGAGCAGGCAATAGGTTAAACAAATTGATGATAAAGTATTCGACTTCGTTAGTTTTCATTACCATAAGAAAACATCAATTACATTTTCTATTTTATGAGTGTACACAGGGGAATCCATTACAGTAAGTGAGAGGTTATATGACTCTTTCTGCTGCCTCTTTCCTCAGCAAAAAGAACAGTTTGTTTTCGAAGCCAGTGACACCAGCCCAGAGGAAGGCAAGGCACACCAGCAGACCTGCATAGACAGCTCCTATCCTGATTTATCCAGCCTGGCTCCAACTAATTAAACATCTGCCTCAACGATTTCCTCTGCAGATTTATCTTCTCCAGTATGCAGCACTAACTGGTTGTTACAGGATCTTCCCTAACTCGCAGCCATTCCCATGTACTTCTCCCAGTTGCTTATTTGGGAACATGGCAGGAGATGATCCAGCATTCCCATCAACCTCCCACGGCTGCCTGTGGTGGGATGGGTCACCAGGCTCCCACAGCCCTGCTTCAGGACCACCACATCCTCTGGGAAAGGACTCAGCCACAAAACATCCAGGTTATTTCACCACCCACGTTTCCCCGTGACAGACTCAAAAATTATTATTTAAAAATGGTCAGAGTTCACATGTCAAAAGCCTTGAGACACTAAGAAAGGAAAATTGCAAGGAACATGAAATAGTCTGAACAGTTTGCAATAATTCTATCTAAATAGAGCTAGGCACAGTCAGAATATTGCTTCCAGTTTTTCAGGTGCCTTTCTATGAAGCAAAGGTTGTACCCCACTTCTGTCTCCTACTAACCTGTATCTTCCTGCAACAAATAATCTTTACTGGCTGAATAAAGTATTTAGGTGAAACTAATCTAGTGTTTTAGCCCTGGTCATGCTGAACAAACCCTTCCTAACTGTACAACAGGAATTCCTCAAATTCTTCCTCACCCAAAAAAGCCAACCCAGGTTTGCATTTTCTTACCAGCTTAGGACCAGTTTGAAAAATGTCCTGTAAGTCAGTGGTGAAAACAGGTCAGAAAGCAACTGCTTCTACCAGTGCCTGAAAACAGCACAAGCTGTAACAATAATACATTAATTTGTCCTGGGAGGGCTGGTCTGGAGGCCCATTGAAACCAGGCAGAAAAGCTCATGGGCATTTCAGCTTTATTTAACTATTCCAAAAACTTTAAATAAACACGTTCAGCCTATTTTTGGTAACAACTTTTTAAAAATCAGAACAATCAGCTTAAAAGGAAGCATTGCTGAGTGAGGAGAAATGCTTCTCCTAAATTATGTCTTATCTTTTATTCAGAACTTTGACATCCTAATCCACTGCTTAATAATGACCTGAACCACCCTGGCACAGGCCCGTGCTGTGCTAATGGTCTGATCTGCAATTCCATTTATCCCTGCACCTCCCAGGGAAAGTGAGAGGCACATCCTCTGCAATTACAAAGAATCTGGTGGTGGATGAGGAACAACGACAAAATCTTTTCCTGCTCCTGCTCCAGTCTCTCTGTGTGCACGGTGGTGGCATCCTGGGTTCTCCCTGCCCTCAGCCCAGCAGCATTCCCAGATCCAGAGGGCTGTGTGGGCAGGACCCCTCTGTGCACACACCTGCAAGTGCTGCTGCTTTTAAGATGACAGCAAGATCCTCCTAAGCCCCCCTACCCCCTCAAGCCTGATAAATCACACTGGTGAGTAAGAGAAGTAATAGAGAATAAGGGAAGACAATTCTAACAAAAATTTCTGATTTACCAATTTAACACACAAATACCTGATCTGAGGAGGCCCTTCAGCCATGTGACAGTATCACAGGGCAGTTCCAATAACACATCAGGAGTGTTCACCAGCAGTTACATTTATGAAACTCAGTAATTTGGGAATTGTAGCAAGAGCCTTCCCAGAGTGAGCATTCTGCTCCCAGTGACCCCAGTGCATGGACCCTCCAGCTGCAGGTGGGAATTCTGCCTGTGTCTGGACACAAGTGTAACCAAAACCTGCAAACACCAACTATTCCAAAAATCCAATTACATGTTCCCCATGGAAATATGCCTGTAAGTAACCAAGAGGTTTGTAGTTGTGACTTCCACTGTGGTTATAACCCCAGCAGGGGTGCTGGTCATATTTCAAAGAGGTGAGATGTCACAGGGATAATTTATAAAAAGTAAATTTAAATGATTTTTTATATAATTAACCCCCGCAGCTGACACACACATGCCTACATCCTCTGTTCCTGCAAAGGGTTCTGAGCAGGAGGGCCAAGGCAGCAGCAGTGACTGTATTAGCTGAAGGAACAAATGCCAGGTCCATTCCTTTGCTAAACCACCGAGCAAAAGTAACAAAATTAAAGCAGAAACAAATTTCAAACGGATAAAGAGTAAAACATCTGTTACACGAGGGGAGGAAGCAGTTTAAAGACCGAGCTAAGTGAATCCTTTAGCGACCTCCCTTCAGGGAAGGGAAATCTGACCCCAGGAAATAAATAAAAGTCACCCAAAAAAGTGAACAAAAGAGGTGTTCTGAAAAAACCCCACCACCATTCATCGCCGCTAACGACTTGTTCATTATGAGTGATGATGGATAAAGACTTCTCACGCTGAGATGAAATCAAGATTTATATGCATTGTTTCCTCTCCCAACTTGTGGGAAGATCATCATCATTTAATTCTATCTCTGCGGCCAGTGATGGGCATCCAGAGAGCCGGTTATCACACGGCGCAGTCAGCTGGCAAGGGCCGGGACGTGCCGTTGGCACATCTGGACGGCGGCGCCGCAGCCGAGGGTGAGCGATGGCTCCTGGCCACCCTCCAAATTGCTGCAGGCTGGGGCTCCTCTCCACCCCCACCAGCCAGCACCGCCCCCCTCCACCCCCCCCCCCCCCTTTTTTTTTTTACGAGAATCAGATTTTCATTGCTCCGTTCAATTGCTCTTCTCTGCCATTTTTTACAGCTCTTATCGTTCCCTTGGAATATGGCCTTGAGACAGCTCATCCGTGTCCTTCACTGTGTTATCTCTTCTAACTTTTATTAAAACTTCAGCTCTCATCTGAAGATAGCTAATTAAATCCATGACAGATTATACACGCGTTTAAAAACTGCACTGAACTACTTTTTCTAAAGAGAACAGGGTTTATTTTCTTTTCCCATAGTTAAAACTGAGGGTGTATAAGGAGGTTTCATTCATTTACAAAGACAAGATCCTTATCTTTCCCCACTATATAGATGGGTTTATATTAAAGTTCCTTTGTTGCGTGACAAGACTTGGTGCAATTTCTCTCAGTAATTATTTCTTGTTGCTGGAAAGATCTCTCAGCCTTATACTTTTGAAATATATACACTAACATATATGTGAATGCACATCTACCCTCGGAAAAGAATTGCTCTTAAATAGAATTGCAAGCACTGTGCATTTTCTTTTTTAAAATCCTGATATGCCTTAACTATAACAGCACTACTCTGACAACATTGCAGAAAGTAAATTTTTCTTTTTTTCTACAAGTAACGACAAATCCTTGAAATTATTTAAAATCACACTAAGCATCATTTTCTTACATAAATTAAAAGTATATATACAAACTCTACCATGGGCTGGACTCACTGTACTTCCACCCATCATCCCAAATTACCATGAGCTGGACTTGAATGCAAATGGTTTTGTTATTATAAATAAATATTTGCAGGAATGGATATACTGCTCTGCAGCAAACATTATGCAGCTCCTGCACTGTCAGCTTTGTGCCAGCATTGAGAACACAAACCCGTGCACAGAACTGCTGTGAGTGGGGCTGGGACACAACCCCCCCAAAACCTGGGCAGCATTCACAACAGTTAAAAAGAGATACAAAATATGCTCATGGGGAAAACACCTCTCCCTCTAGAAAATAGGATAAACAACCCACCTGAGCCTCTCTGTGATCCCTTCCTTCTCTTTAAGGCCTTTTGTAAGATATCCTTCATGGTGACCTTCATACTGTCCACCTGAATAAGTGAGAATCCATGAGCAGCATTTCTGCAAGACAGATGCACATGCAGTTTTACAAAACAATCATCACCGGCAGCCCCGCAGTCCTCGTTAGCGTCAAGCAAAGCACTCGTTAGCACCCGGTTAACGAAGTTGGGCTGGGAAGGGAAGTTAGAAGGAGATACTGAGCAAACTCCCTCAGCAAGGCAAAGACAAAACCAGAGAAAGCAGATTGCCGTTCGAGGGGTGCATGGATTTTCCTGATTTATTGCTATTTTTAATCACTTTGTGTTCAGCATCAGAGAGGAAGATGAGCCAATGTACCTGGGGGGCTCCTCAGCCCCTCAGTCCGTGTCTGTGGAGTGTTTCACAGTACAGAACACAGAAGCAGTTTGCAGGGGCATTTTCATCCCACACGTAACAAACCATGAGGGAGAAGTGGCAGAACAGCCCTCAGTGAGGTGACAGCAGCTTTGCAGCACTATCAAGGTGTTATTTCGATGCATTGTTTTAAACCTAAGTAAGGGGCTTTCTTTGGACACATTTTTGTGAACACAATGGCACAAAATCTCCCATAAAGGTCCATGGCAGCGGGTCCTTGTCCTGGCCATTGCCCTGGTAGAGGCCACACAGGGGGAAGGACTGCAAAGAGCACAGGGATGGCCATGGGGGCACTGCCAAACACTGAGAGGGCACCACTGGGGAAGCAGAGAAGATGACAACGTAACAGAAGAGACACTGGATGAGCATGTCAGTGAATTGTGCCCCTTAGCCCTCGCAGTCAGTCTCGGCTCGTGTCAGTAGATGTCACTGCAGACAGTTCCAGGGAAATCCGAGAGCTGAAGGCTCCCACCGGAGACACTGCTCTGCATGGAAAAAAATGGTTTGCAAAGCTATTTGGGCAGGAGGAGGAGCTTTGTATCTGGCAACCAGGAATTTTAATCAGGGAGCAGAGCTCTACATGAACATCACAGCTGGAATATTTTTAAAAGCAACTGGCAGTCAAAAGCAACCCGAGCAACACAAGTATATCCTGAAAAACAAGCCCACATTGCTGCCTGTCACTTTGAGACACAAATTCTGGGACTAGAGGTTGGAGGTCAGGTCACAGCAGATGTGGCACCCCCAGCCCATGCCAGGATGGACAGATGATAACTGTGAGCCCTCAGCACACACCAAGGAGTGCTTGGAGCCACTCCCAGGGCCTGACACCGGGGCCAGGAACCCCCTGCCTGGGCATGTGCTGGCCACAGCTCACTGTCCTGCAGCCACTTGTGCTCTGGGGGCCACCAGCCCAGCCCAGCTCTGAGCCCCACAGGGATGTCCCCCATCCCTGGTGTACGATGCCATTTCCCTCTCCTCGGCTGTGCATTGGTCTCATCTGAATTTCATTTTCAATTCCCTTTGTTCCTGGCAAAATGAAACTGCCTAAAAGCCCCAAATTTATGTTCTCCAGACCATTTATTATTTATAACTCTATCTTACTCGTCTTCAAACCAAATACTCCCAACCTTTTCGTGCATCTACTTTCCCTCTGTCCCTGCCGTGTGCTCAGTGCAGCAGGAGCAGAGCTGAGCCCGTTGCTCCACAGGAGGAGGGAGTGATAGTGACACTGCTGTCCTGGAACAGCCCCAGGGCACAACCCTCTGACCAACACTGTGGAGTGAGCAGAGACCTTCCCAAGCCCTTCACTGAGGAGCAACTCTCCCCTGAAGCTGCCATGGAGCCCCATGACGTGCATGAGCACCACAACACCCATCCTTTGCCCAGCAGGGCCATGGCTGATCCCTCCTGTCCCAACTGACCCTCTGAGTGAGATTCATGGATTTTCAAAAGTGAAAAACCTCTTCTACAATTATAATTACAAAAAGGAAACTAAATTACCTCTGCACTTTAAGCAACACAATGGTTGTCAGTGAAGCCCTACAAGAAAAGCCCTGCACACTGGACTGGGCCATCCTAACAGTTGGTGCCTCCAGGGAACTCATACAGTGCTCTGCAACACTGACAGGAATTTTCCAGAGAACTCCAACCAAAACACAGGGAAATAAATTAAAATACTGCAGGGAAAAAAGAAACAGCAAAGGCAAAAGAAGTCCTCCGAAACCTCCTATGGCCAAAACAACAGAGTCACAATTTTCTCCTTAGTACACAATGCTTTTCAACATTTTTTGCCCCAAACAGAGCAGGGGCTGCAGCCCCCACCCCGAAGCAGCCCGGGTTCCTCCCAGGCACAGAGTGTCCAACGGCAGAGAGCCCCAGCTCAGGGCCACTCATGGATCGGGAACATCCTGAAAATGGAAGATTCCCTTTCAGTTCCTGACACTTGAGCTGCTAAAGAGCACAGGCTGCTGTGATCTGCTCGTGTTCCGGGCCATCCCGGCTCGCCTGATCCTTCCCATTGAGCAGCTGGCCTGAGAACTGTCAGACTGATTTCCCTGACACTCCATTACTAACCCCTGCCTGAGCCGTGGCCATTCTTTGCCTCAGAAGCTGGATCTCATCCCAGAACAATCTTTAAAAGTTTATTTTACTGATCAAAGCAAACTAAGAAACGCTCTGTGTTTTACTATATTTAGTGTGCGCTCCGTAAGCGAGCCCTTGGCAGGAGCAGCGGAGCTCAGAGCGCTCCCGCTTTTGTGAACTCTTGGCTGTTTGCTCTGGAGCAGAGCCAGAGGGTCCCAAACCTGTCCCAGTTTAGCCACTCAACCCTTCCTTCCCCTGCCCTGGCTGGTTTCCCTCTCACAATGCACCAAGGAACATCAATACAACATTTCAGCACTCAGCAAACCCACACATCTGAGCCCAGGGTGGATTTAAGTCCAGACCAAAGAGCTCCTGCCGTCATCCTGGGGCCAGGCCAGTGTGTCAGAGCTTCCTGTGCTCAGAGAAGCAGCCCCACAGAATCACAGAGCAGCTGGGTTTGGAAGGGACCTCTGGACATTATCCAGTCCAACCCCCTGCCAAGGCAGAGTCACCTGAAGCAGATGACACAGGTGGGTTTTGAATGTCTCCAGAGAGGGAGACTCCACACCCTCCCTGGGCAGCTGTTCCAGTGCTCTGCCGCCCTCCATGGAAAGAGGTTCTTCCTCATGTTGAGGTGGAACTTCTTGTGGTTTAGTTTCTGGCCACTGTTCCTTGTCCTGTCCCTGGACACGCCATCAGGGTGTCCCGGAGCCACGCTCTGCACCAGGTTGTCTGGAACACCACTGGTCCACCACACCCTCCACTGTGTGCCCAGAGCACAGGCAGCTCTGCTGGAGAAACACACACCCAGCTCACCTTTCCACACCCCAGTGCACTGCACTGACCACGGGCATGGACTGTCCTCACTCAGCCCAATCCCAGCACATCCTTAATTGCAATTACAAACAACCTGTTTTACCTCACTCTGCTAAGGTGTGATACCTTTATTTTAAGTGAGCACACTGAAAACAGGACAGACAAGCAGATGCTGGTCAATCAATTAAAAGTGCTGCCGACAAATTGGAAGCCAAAGAAATTCCTTAGCTTGTATTTTCTGTCATTTTGCAAAAACATACCTGGGTGACAAGGTTAAATCAAGCAAAGGAAATCCCTGGCACTTATCATCCACAGGCATTACTGATAAATTGTGCAGTGGAGGAATAAAGGATTACCTTCTGTATTTTTTCATTACACTTTTCTTTTGTTACAGAATACATAAATCCATTGTGGCACAATGTAATATGTATCATCGTGCTACACCTGTGGACGTTTCATAACGGCTGCCATGTCTGTGCAGTCAGGAATGATAAGTGAACCACCCGTGAATGTTAATGATAGTGATCATTCTGCGGTAACTTGGCTTTCCATCTTCTTTTACAGCCTCGGCGCCGGAGCCAGGGTGGCAAGGTTCAGGAGAGGGAAAAGGGAACAGCAGCAGAGGCAGGAGCTGACGCTGGGGGCACGGAGCTGAGGTGCCATGGGAACAGGCAGGGTCCCTCCACGGGCTCCGTTCGCACCACAAAACAAAACAACCAGCTCTGGAAGGACAAAAGGCTTCTGTTCTGAACGAGAAACGAACTTTTCCAAAAGCTCCCTTCCAATCTGGAGCGATTTTCAAAATTGTTGGTTGGTTAGATTTCTTTTTTTAACACAGAAGTGGAATTTATTTTCCAGAAGTGGAATTTATAGCACTCACTGCAAAACTGGCTGGCATGGCTGGAAGTGCCCAGGAGTGACTAATAACGATTTCCACTTGATCAGCACAAAGTCAGACTTAAGACTAAAAATCCCAGCTGACGCAATAGACTTAACTTAAGCCGGGTAATTTTTAAGATAAAGTGCACAGTGAGAGGAATCAGAACTATGCCAGCCACAATTTTTCTTCTGAGCCTAAATGATCTGCTTTTGTGCATCTCAGGTTGGTCTTGGATAGCTCTGTGCACTACTGAGTTCAACTGGCTGCATTTTGACACCACTGTCCTTAGATCTCTGACAAGTCATTTGACCCCTTTCTTGGGGTCCCACCCCTCCCTCTCCACTCTCCTGGGAGCCACCTTCTTAACTTTGGCACCTACACCAACTGCCTTAAATTTGCATGCCATGAATATTCTAAACTGTACCTTGGAGATTACCCACCCCCCTGTACAAACCATGAAGAGGCCTTTTGGGGAGTGCTCCTGTAGTCCAAGGAAAAACACATCTCAGAGCTTTGAGCTGAATTTGTAAATGCATGGTGCAAGCATTTTAAAAAGGTTTCAAATCTTAAACTATTGGGTATGGCAGGGGTGCTGCTTTGAAAATTTGTATATAATAGTCAAAGCAATTTAAGCATAATACCAAAACAGAAAAAAAGTGCTACAGAGCAGAGGATCTGCATGCCAAATTTGCTCTGTGTGCCAACTGGCAGCTGAGCCACAGCTCCTCGAAACGCCACTAGATTGAGTATGTCGAGTCGCAACAATAAAATTTCCGAGGGAAAAAGCCCTAATGATGGTACAGATTTATTTTAAGCCTTTCAGGTATGACCTCACCCTCTCAAGAAGTCCATATTTCCATGGCTGTGGTGCTTTGTTTGCCTCCTCCCCATCAGGGCAGGCTGTGTGCGAGCAGCGCGGCTGACACTGCACACACAGCTCTGCTCTGCACAACAGCCACCTTCCAAACACACAACCCGCTAGACTAATGGGCAGGGGGGAGCCAGAACGACTGCCCTCCGTCTTCTCCTTGTGTAACTTTGCCAGAGTCCTTGGAACTTGCCAAATTCGGTCATGCCTGCTTAGCTTGCTCGACTGATTGTGCCAGAAAAGAAAATAAGACACAGATGTATTTGAGCTCTTTGAGATGCCAGTAAGAGCGACAGCTAATGGCTTCATTTCGACCCTCCCCTACCAGCTGGGCACAGGTGGGGGGATAATGAGGTCCCTCTCCCTAATCAAACTCAATTATTTACTACTCTGTACAGCCACAAAGACATTCACATCCAGCTCTGAATATAAACTGCACTGTGGGCTACTTCCAGCCACCGCCTCTGGGTATTTATAACGAACTCAAGTGGCTCAGAGTTTGCCTTGGCAGGAATTGAAGTGTATGAAGTTCTGCAAACTGTTCCTGCTCAAACATGTCCTGCTGAAACGGGGTCCCTGGCGGGGTTCCACCGCTGTCAGCTCGGCAACCACCACACAACCTCTGAGTGTCCATCCAACACGGGACGGGGGAGCGGAGATGAACCACGGCTCCAGCACGGAGCTCCTCACAGCCATCAACATCCTTCAGCAGTGACTCAGTATTAATAAACATCCCAAGTCACAAGGCTGACATGGCAGCAGCTGAAATACTTCAGCATGAGAGGGAAAAAAAGAGATGCAAAATACAAACCCACGATTATGTGCACTAGTGGGGTGACAGGGGAGCAAGAAGACATGGAAATGGCAAAAAATCCCTACCAAAATAAGACAGTATGCACATTTAAACTCCCTTTTGATCAAGAGAAGATCAAGCAATTCTCCATTCTAAGTGACACATTAAAAATCCTAATTTCAAGCTATTTACACAGGAAGCAAAAGTAAATTCAAATTAACATGTAGGAACAACATAGGAACAACCAAACTGACCCTTTTGGAAAAGCACTGCTTATGATACAATTGTCCTATTTCTCCTCAGCAGCACCTCCCAGGCTATATGAAAGCTCCTCACATCAGCACAAATGACAGTAAACCAAAAGATTTTGCATTTCTTTCGTAGGACCTGCAGTTGGACTTTAATCCTGCTCCAAGCTCCAGCCAGAGCACTGCTGGCCAGGCCAGGATCAGGGCTCTGGGCTCACACAGGAATGCTGGTTCCATTCCCCTGAGCCAACCCCCAAACCCTGAGCCCAAACCCTGAGCTCCCTGCATTGAATCACCAGTCCCAGTTCAGGGGGTGACTGTGCCCCCCAACCCCAAACGTGCCCCCAGTGCTCCTGGGGAGGCTGCTGTGCTTCCTCCCTGCACCCCTCCCTCACCACTGCCTCGACCTTCAGGAACTCACTGCAAATACTGTGGCCACAATATTGCATTTCCCAATGTCCCAATGCAGTGGAACAAGGTGAACGTGGCCTTTGGGAACACACACGGGATTGCTGACAATGATTTCAGTTGGATGCTTTGGAACGTCTCTAAGAAACACAGTATACAATAAAGAACATAAAAACTAATTAAATAGGCCAGATTTTTTTTAAAATGTCTGATTATTCAGAACGGGAAGCAGCTGTAGTATTAAGAAATGTAAGTGTTGTCCAATAACCAGGAAAACTCTATTAGCATTTTCATTTTGAGAGCTCCAAACATGAAATATTTTTCCCAAGTAAGAAGTGGTTTATGCTCCTGGTATTTTGTTACAGTAATTAAGGCCTTCTGATGGCTTAAAAGATTTTTCAGTCACAAGCAAAGAAAAATAAAAGTGATCAAGCACAGTATGTATCCCTACTTCACTGATAAGAACAGAGCAAATTCTTCTTGAGCCACAAGCCAGACAGCTCAAGTCTCAGGGGTGGATGGGGTCTTCCTCAACAAAATTCTTTTGGACTTTGAAGAGGAATTTCCAGCCCTATTCCAACTGGCATGCTTGGTTGCTGCTCATTTCTCTCCTCAACTACTGCATTGTTATTAAGCCACTCTGCAACTATTTGTTTCTAAAGTCACTTGCTTTTTCAGTCCACTAACCAGTCTGAAAATACAAATTCACTACTTTGTCTATTAGGCTTTGAAAGAAGAATTTGAAATCTCCTGTGTGGAAAACCAAACACCACGAATACACCTTTTTTTCTGCTAAAATTCAATACACTTTTCCAAAATAATTAAAAGTCCCTTGTAAGATCAGTTCTTAATGCCTGTTGAAAAGGGCTCTGGATATCCAACACGAATGACTTTGTAATTTAAACTCTCTGAAGCTGTTACATCTTTTCCAGCCTAAATGCTCTGTGATTCTATACACATTATTTCATTTATTATTCAGAACAGATTTTTCAGAAATAAGCAGCATGGCTGGAGCAAAATGAAGATTATGAACTCAGATATTGTGCTAATTCCAAATATTTTCCAGTGGGAGTGCAACAGCTCAGTGTTCTCCACTGATCACAGGCAGAGGGGCTGATTTTCTTCTCTGCTGCTTCAGGCTCCCTGTGATGGTCTCACCTGAGCTGTGCCTGGGGACAGAGCCCAGAGTGGGGCTGGGCATCACCTGCAGAGCCCCCCCATGCAGGCAGCCCCCCAATTGTGGTCACCCCAGGTGAGGGAAGGCAGAGCAGCCCCCAGGCTGGGGTGTCCCAGGGCAGAGCAGCCCCCAGGCTGGG